GGAACTGAAAGATGAAAGGTCCTTCCCAAAGGATTTCTTTCTCTCCTGCCCTTGGGCCATAACAGTGCATGTGATGAACACACTGGACAGTTCCATAAGTTGTAAATTATATCCTGCTCTCTCCCCCAGCTAAATGCAAAGCATGTCAGAAACTATTCAGGGAAGCCACAAAACTTAGTCTGTTTTGCTATTTGATTCTATTACCACCTTAGGATCACATGGGAATTTTGTGGAAGGAGCTGAATGGACTCAATATTGAATTTAAAACTGAGGGCAAACTAGCATAGTTATTCAGATCCATCTTTCTTCAAAAAGTCTCTAAGTCATTGCACCAAGCTGTGATTTTTATAGAATTTTAAGGTACTTGTCTTCCAAGAAACAACATTAAGAGCTACTTTAATGGTTATTGCTTTTTCAATGAAACACTATTATCCTGTAAATCTGTATTAATATTTTTACTGATAAGATTTATCAATTGCCTATATGAGGTGAGTTTGTAGGGCAGAACAACATCTTAAGCTCTCTTTTAAGGTAACAAAGTCATATTATTCCTAGTAATAGGAAGTAGGTTGGGTTTTGTTATGGTAAAAGTTTTTAGTCCAATAGTCCAAATGTTTGCCATTCAGCTAAGATGAAGGAAGGAGGATTTCTTCCTTCTCTTTATTTACACAAACACAGGGACCATGAACTAAGTCCTTGAGGTAGAACATTCCAAGATAGATCTCTCTTAATCTCTTCTATTTAAATAGCTTTACAAAGTATTCAAATGTGCCTTGATTCAGGACCTTGAATTCAGATTTACACTTGTAGAGGACAGCTCAGAGTGCCAACACAGAGTCACTGTACTTTTTTTTTACTTTGTTTGAGCTAAAATAAATTATCTAGTTCACTAAAAATTATATTGTTTTTAGGTCCAGTCATCAAAAAGAAGTTAAGTTATTCGTGCAGTCCCATTTATCCTGGAAAAAGTTCTGAGACACCATAATGATATTAAAACAACAGAACTCATACGCTGTCTCATTATATGTATATAAAATATAGGATTCCTAAACTCTTCCAGAAATAAGTAGAAGTGTCACCACAAATTCTTTTTTATGTGTGAAGATTTTACATTAGTCTGTAGCTGAAAAATCAGAAAGAGAATAGGAAAGTGTGATTACAGAAGAGAACTCAAATAGCATATTAAATCTCTGAAAGAATGTTTCTTTTTTATTGTATCTAATACTAGTCTGAGAGAAAGAGTGGGATACCTTTATTAAACTAAAATAAAGCAGCATTCATCCATAATTCAGAGCTTAATGCAATGATTTCAAAGTGCCACAAAGACTATCTTGAGTATTATTTTAAGCTGTCTTCTAAAGCACGGTGTTAGTAGTAACGTTTCTGTCTAACTCCATCGTCTTAACAAGAGCTGCTGCCTGCTACAATATCTGATAACTACCTGTACTGTCAAAACACCCTCAGCAGGCACTTCTTCCCAACAAAACTCACAACATGTTATTATCACAGCATTTTTTCCAGGTATTTTCTTATTCTGCCCTTATTAAAAAATAAAATAGAGCAACATTCTACTTCAACCGTTCAGTACTAAAAAAACCTCTTCTATCTTTCACTACCATGGTGATACAGTAGCCTTGTGAACAGCTGTCGTTGAAGAGATACAGTTGGGAATTTTCTTAAGAATGTTTTTGACAGAATACACTTATTTCTTGAAACTGAAACTGGTTTTTTTCAAGGTGGTATGTACCTGTTTTAGTAAGACAAGGATTTCTGATCAGCGAGAAAGAGACAGATGCACTGACACACTTCATCTGGCCCATCTAGGGTATTTAATCCATGAGATGAGCCTGGGGACAGATCAACATTTGATGTGCCCTTATTTCACAAAGCACTGTAGAACTATTTCAACTTGTATTTATAATTGAGAGTTTAATGAATGACACAGGGAGGTCCACTGCATGTCTACATGTAGAGTTTACCATAGCACTGCCAACCTACAAAGTAGCATGGACTAATTAAAATCTCAAAGCAGTATGGCTGTGTCAGGCTGTTGCTGACACATAGTTTAATGTGGTTTACCTGTGCTGAGGACTGGAGGATGACAGATTACCAGCACTGCTGCTCTCTTCCATGCCTACGCTGCTTTGGGGTAGTGTCCATGTACCACACACCGCGTCAGGTCAGCTATAGCTGAGCATCTCTCAACTTCTTCAGACAAAACCCTTCTGTGGACTCTACCTTCCCGTTGATTTTCTTTTCCTACTCCTCATTCATTTTTTCTTTCTGGTTTTTTTTTTTTTTTTTTACTGTTTTGTTTTATTTGTGTTTGTTGTTGTTCTCCTGGTTTAGAGCAAGAAAAAGAATTTTGTAAAACTTTCCTTGGAGGAGAAAATAGTCTCCCTGCCGCTTCTGAATACTACAGTATCTGGAAAAGTAGAGAGAAGGTAGGAAATTGCTAAGGAGTCTGCAGTGTATATTTATAACATGGGTCTGTTAACCACAGCCAGAAGTTTGTCTCAAGGCATGGTTTAAGCATGAGAACTGCTGAGCAAAATCCTTAAAGCAGCATATCCTTATCTTCTCTGTGTTGTAAACACGTGGTCTCTGTAAACATTACTGATATTACATGTTCAGTACACACTGGTGAGTAAAGGCAGAAAATAACTAGTGATGACAGAAAACAAGTGGTGCACTCATCCATAGTCCAGAGAACTAAAAAACTAACAAAAAGTCTTAAGATCTAAGCTGATGCTGAGATGTCCTTTGCTTTTGAGGCTATTTCTCCTTTTACTAGAGTATTGTTCAGCAACGTCTTCCTTTGAAGATATACATGATGGTTAAACTCAGCCCCACGTTTAAAAGGTATAAAACACAATGAAAATATGAATACACAAAATGTACTGCCAGCACCACAAGAAATAAAGAAACATTACAAAGTCCATTTTTCAACTTTTCTGACAGCCTCTGTTTCTAGCCCTGTAAGTTTTAAAGAGGAATCAAAATAGACATTTGCTAATTTTGATCAACTTTGACTTGACTGCTAGTTTAGATCTTTGTTAGACAAAGCACATACAAGTTAAGTGACTCTCTTAAGGTCATACAATATATTCAGGACAGGAATCTGAATGACCTGATTTTCACAACTAATCTGTAAGCAATAAATAAGATCTTAATATGTAAGTTTTAAGCCAAGGCTTCATCTTCTTGTCAGAAGTTACACTATGTATTGTTAATTTCCCTAATTTTTCTGCTAATTATCCTCTTTAAGGAGGCCCCTAGCAGTACTATTTCCAGCTTGAAACTGGTTTAAAACACAAAGAAGAATTGGCAGGATTATATTTTTTCCACTTCTTATGTCCTTCCACCTAACAGCAGAATAGCATTCTACTTACAGGGATGTTAGCTTTTAGCTCAATGTTATGCAATCATCAGTATTTGTCTACCTCTCCTTACCTTGCTAGAGATTTAAGTCCCAAGAACACCTCTGACTTGCTGCTTTACTGTTTTTTTCCTTTTGCAAAACCCAGCCTTTTTAAGACAAGTGAAACCTTTATGTAGGCATTCACAGGCTTTATTTTCACCCTTCTTCCCAAAAACATGCTCTTTTCTGAACCTTTCAGTATGTTTTTCAAATATTCAAGGTCTTTAAAATGAAACTCGGTAGGGGTGGGGAGGAGGCAGGCAGATTGGTACCCACCATCACCAAAACAACTTACTTGTTTTCTCTGGCTTCTAGCTACAAGTTGAGACCTTAGCTTTGTTTTTCCCTCATCCTATGCTTTGGCATGAAGCATCCAAAACGTAGATTGCTGGACTTATTCATGGCATTTCAAAGAGAGCATCATTTGGACCATACATTAGCAAGCAGGCAAATAATTAATAATAACACACGTGGAAGCAAATGAATGTTTTGCTTGTTGAAAGAGAATGAGAAAGTCAGACAAAGGCCTGGGCTCTATGTCCTTGCCCTTCACAGCAGCAAAAGAAATAATGTTATGAATAGCATTTAACTTGAATTTGTAGCAAACTGCTGCTTTTATCATAAACAATTGCCAGATGGTATACATTATCTTCCTTTTTTCTCCTTTCACAAAAGCAGCATTAATTGCAGAGCAGCCCAGGGCTCCACTCAGCTCATCAGTGTGATAACACTTCATGACCCTGATTAGCCGTCAGTCTACTCAATTAAAAAGATCATTTAGACATTCACCCAATCATTTGCCTATCGAGCCACCTGGGCCTCAACCAGGGGCTCCATTTTTAACATTCTCCTGCCCTCTCTCATCTCGCCTAGCTTTTTTACATATCTCCAAAAGACGTAATTGAATTAAATAAAGCGTCTCAGGGGCAGCTGCAACATCTGCTGTTTGTGGTATGTCAAGCCTTCAGCATTAAAAACAGTTACATATGCTCCAAATTAGCAGGTCGCAGAGATGAAACAGTCGATGATAGTGTTTTTGTGCCAGCGTGAGAAGCAGCTCACAGCTGTGTGCAATTTACAATTAAAGGCTTTATCAGAGCTCAATTGTACTAGTGAATCAAGTGGTGAGAGGTCAGTTAGTGAATTAGACCAATTAGAGCTTGTACAGTTAAATTATCTGTCTTATTACCTACTGATAAACAGCCTTGTCATATCTTTACTCAGATGATGAAGCTTGAAAGTGTTTTATGAGGTGATACTGTACTTTTGTGTCTGCGTGTAATGGAACTCCGTAGCTCAGCAAAGTTAGGCTGATGCAACAAGCATACAGCAGACAACTTCTTAAACTGGAGAGGGAAAAAATCCCAAATGCCTGCAGTTAAAACCTTTAATCGAAATTAGGTTAGGCCAAGAATTAAGATTATACATGTTGGCTGTGTTTCAATATTTTTCCACTTGCTAAAGTCTAAATTCATAAAGTTAACAGTGGGAAGTGTTATACTTCTGATTTCTAGGTTGGAGGAGTTTTTTTTAATTACTGCCTTGCTCTCTCTCACTCCCACACTGAAGGAGAGATGGAATGCAAAGGAGAGAATCTAATAAAGTCAGGCTCTGATTTCATACTGTAAAATAATGCAGTAATAATGGACAAAGACAGAAACTACTGCTTCTTAATCTCAGGATTTACATGGTTCTGGAAAGCATTACGTGTAAGCCTGGACAGAGATGACTGAAGATGGGGAACTGAACAAAGGTGAGCCACTGAAACCTTTTCAGAAGTATTATGTGTACAAGCGTATCAGTGTATAGCTGGGTAGTATTAAGCATCTGTTATCGCTATGTCATCCTATCATGTGAATGAGAAATGAGCTGCACCAGGGCATGGCGGTGCCAAATTTATAGGCACCTGGCCCTAAGAATGAGGAACTTGCTGCCTGGGCTCCATATAATTTGGAAGCGGGGGAAGGGAATAGGGAGTAGTGGGGATTAAGATTAAAGTTGTATGACAGTTTGACAGTGCTGCATGTCAAATTCTGCCTTTTTAAGGCAACAGTAACTGAGGACCAGAAATCTCAGAAACCTTTCCTTGTAAGGGACTATCTGTGCTTTGTTCTTGAAAACAAAGTAAAGGTCATGCCTTTCTTTGTTAATCAAACACTGGTAAAGTGATGGTGCCCTTGTCTTATAGAGAAAATCCCAGAGATTAGATCATGTGCTCAATTCTCTTCTCTGCAGAAGGTAATCAAAGGTGTGTTAGGCCATTAGAATGGACTAAAAATATACCTGATTGTATAACCTAGTAGTCAGGGAATTTGGCTTAAAGAAGCATTGAATCCATTCCCTAAGCTGTATATCAGTCTTTCCCATCAACTTGTCATTGGATAAAAGGCAAAAAAGTTATCCATTCCCTGTAAATCCATGTCCTGTATCACTCTTCTTTTCATTCTTCACAGTAGTACAGAACTGGGAGGAAGGAAGGATGGTAAGCAACTAGAAGGTGAACAAGCTGGCTTGTAGGACATCAAACAGCAGGATAGCTGGCACACTAAGGGTTAAATCTCTGTGAACAAAGGAGAATGTCTTCAAGGTCTGTAACTGGAAACCTTTCTAACTAACTCTTCTATGTTGTGTGGAGCTACACTATTTGAGTATATTCAGATGCAAGTCCAAACAGAAATTAAATACTAGCCACTTATTAAAGGGAGATTTATTGGGGGTATGGACATACTTTCCTTCCACCCTAATATTTTCTTGGTGCAAGCATACATTTTTGGAGTGGTCTTTTGATCATGTTTAATTCATGGCTTGTATATATTCAGGCAAACGGATTTTGCAAAATGATGAGGGTAAGTTTCAAACAGATGTCTTGAGATGTCTTATTAAAGACTGTCTTTGAAATAAATTAAGAAGGTTGTGATGCTGGCAACGAGGGGGCCACAACTCCTTTCTGCCTGTGAATAATGTTGACTCATTTTCTGCAAGTTTGTGACTTGCATTTAAAGAAACTCTAATCAACCTTGAAATAGCCCTCTTTGAAAGAGTAGATTTAATGTTTCAGTGTTTTCCTTAAGTGCATTGACCTCGTTGCCAAGATCAAATGTTTAAAAAAAGCAGTTGAAAGAAAGAGAAGTTTTTGGATTTGTGGATGAATAAAAGAAAGAAAAAGAATATTTTTTGAGTGTAAATGGATATATTTTTCAACACTCTTACCCTTCTAAGTAGTAGAGGGTATTTAGTTCATTCCTCAAGGGGAAGAGAGAAACATAGTCTAAGTATTCTGAAAACTTTTGAGACTTGAATGTACAGGGTACACTTGGTTAGAACCCTGATCTCCCTATAGTGCACATGCTGCTGGCAGTTATCAAAAGTCTTCATCCTCTCTCCTGTTGCAGTCTTCCAACTTCTGAATGACATTTACCCTTGATAAAGTCTAAGTGAAAGTCAAAAGCCAGACATCATAACTTCTTATTTTAAATGCTAAATTGCACCTGTTCAGTAAACACTTAAACAATGAATTAAAGTTGATTTTTTTATTCTTGCCTTCATTGTATTAAAATTGACAAATTACTTTACTCCTATTTTTAAAAGAAATAGGAGTTTCTGCAGTTTTTCATAAATTGATTTTGAATTTTAAGTGTCTTTTACTTTTCAACAGAGTTTAAATCCCTGTGTACGTAGCTCACTGTTAAGCATAAATGCGATATTACTTACATAATTCGGTCTTAATCTAAAATAGAGATAAAGTAGGAAAGTTGGTTGGAAGCTTGAATATTACAATAACAAGACCATATTTTTTGACAGATTGATTTATTGAAAAGTCTATTCTAAGTACAATATCAGTTTATGGAGAATACAAGATCTAAAAAGAGAGACACTCAGAGTTGTCAGCAAATGATAATTACTATTTATCATCTGTTTGCTGAGAAAACAGGAGCAGTAAGGGCATTGCATCACTTACTGCACTTATTAAACTCAGCTTGACAAGCCAAACTCTTCACAGCACAAGCTAGTGAAGCTGATGGTGGGCATAAAAACACTATTAGATGGGGCACTTTCAGGATAACAATCTTTTGACATTTAGTTTTTCTCTTTATTACTAGATTCACATCAAATATTTAAAAACAAAATAGTGTTGACCATCGTTATTTGTTTTCCTCCATTTAATTTTAACTTACTATTTTTGTTGTCTACATAACAGAATAACATGGCTCAGTTCAGCTAGTTTTTTTCAAGATTTTTAGACCATGTGAAACTGCATCTAACTCCACAAATAATGGTATGTAATGTAATCACATCTCAGTATTGTGCTTTGCATCTGCCTGCTGAAGCTTATGCATCTTCTTTCTATAACTGGCCACTCTTAAATTATCCCAGTGCTCCCTTACCTGTTCCCATGTCATTGCAAATAAAAAATCCCACCCTATTAATGGCAGGTGCTGGTAGACTTCCTTGTTGCAGAAAGCTCTGTTTTTGCCAGGCCTGCAAGCCTATATCTGAAAGAATCAATGGAAGTGTTGTCTTCTTATTGGCTGACTAAATTTAACCAGCATCTGCTATTGCAACATGACTTTCTTACCTATCTTGCAACAGAGCCACAGGATTTAGATTAGTTAAAAGGAAGAAGCTCTTTACGATGGGAGTGGTAAAATACTGGAACATATTTCACAGGTGGTAGATGTCCCATCCTTGGAAACAAGGCTCTGGGCAACCTGAAGCAGCTGAACATGTCTCTGTTATTCTGAAACTATTCTATGATTAAGACTGGTCTGAATTGCTCATGAGTTGCAGCTGACTTGACTTGCTGGCCGGGCATCTTCCACCTGTGCAACTCAGCCACAGCCCTTCTCAAGAGTGCATTGAAGAAACTTGTTTGGGACAACTGAATATTTCAGAACTAGTACACAATGATGAATATAAATGTTTAAACCATGAATATAAATGTTTGAAGAAATGGAGCACACATGCCTAGTGGCATTTGTCTCATGAGAACAAATCACCCCCCCAAGGAGTGGTGCCTAGATGCCTAAGTAGTCATCTTAGCTTTTACAAATATTGTGTTTCTTTTAAAAATCTCTGCATACCCTCTTGCCAAACAGCACTACCACAGAGATCATTTGAATACTAAGCAACAAAATTTTCAATAAAATACAATAAGTCACTGTAGTAAGGTGGTTCTGATGGATGCATTTCTTTAGAATGGTAAACTGTGACTTTCAACAAATTGGTTTTCAAGTCAATTTTTACCCATTACACTTTGCCAAAAGTATATCTTTATTAAAATTCCTCAATAGTACTTCTTTTTTTTTTTCCACACACAAACTCTAAACATTCTTACTTTCCCTGGCATAAACCTCTTTCAGTTTGTATAGTAAATCTGAGTAAGTCCAAAGCGTTGTGAGGGCAAAGTCTTTGTCTCCACTATCTACAAGCATTGATTCATGACTATGAATAACTTTCTTTCTCAGACATCTATAGTAGTTCCTTCCTTTGATTGTCCACTATGCACTAAATTCAGAGTTTCCTGCCTTGTCTTAGCTGTTAATATAGAAGCTAGTAAATCACCACAATATACAATTCAGTTCAATTAACACTTTCATTGTTTGATTTAAAGCATAGGCCTCAATTTCTGTTGTTTTGCTGGCCATTACAAGAGCCCTTCAGATGTCCTTGAGCAAGAGCCAGGGTGGGTGATAGAACAAGTGCAAGAACCTCAGTTTTCCCAAAGTAATTATTTCCCAGTGATGGATCAGAGACCTTAATTCCAGTCTCTAGTACTGCTTCCTGATGTTTATTCTTAAACATCTCAAGACATGGCAAATCTCTGTTAGTTTTCTTGTCTTTGAAGTACTACCTACACATATGTTGTTTGTATATTGTTATTAATGTTCAGTCTGTGTCAAGTGTGAATAAATACAGAAATTAATGAGGGAATTAAGTTGTATAGAAACCATGAGCAGGATTTCTTGGTAAGCATTTGGAAATAGTTGGCTGGTGGTCAGTGCCAGAGGTCTGGCAAAAGTGGTGATTTTTAAAATGAAATGTACAAAAAGCAGTGTTTTTTAAACTGTGTCATTGGTATGACAAACCAAGTAGATACCAAGTGCTCCCTCTGAATTAGGAGAAATGTTATCCTTGTTCCTCTACTTACTCCACAAAAAATACAGAGCAAATCAGCTGTCCACACTAAATCAGTCCCATCAAAACAATCTGTGTTAGTTGAAATAGTTTTACCAAGATGTGAAAGTAAGGGAGTTGCTTAAAAATCTCACAGCTTTATTGTCTTTTCGATTTGCAAGCCCATAACCTTCAACATGGTCATTACATAATACTAGAGGTACATCAGAGAGGCTTTATTAGAGTTTATAAGTTTATTAGAACATGTTGTAGACCCTTTGGCAAGTAAATCAGTGGATAGATACTAACTAAAAACTACTGGGTAGATAACTCAGGGTATAACTTACCTATACGTTTGTAAAGTTCATTGGTATATATGAAATATAGCAGTTTTTTTCCTGCAACTTTAGATCCTGTTCAGCTGTTGAAAATAATAGAAAAATACAAAAGGGAGAATAAATGAAAAAAAGATCTTTGAACTTACCTTATACTTTTTAGATTTATTAACTCTCTTAGAGTGCTTCAATTAATTTAATCCTGTAAAAATCATAACTATTTAATACTATTTACTGCATTTTTACAGTAAATTGCTTCAAATTGTATAATGATCTTTTCCCCTAGTTATTCGCTCAAAAGGAAATCTCTAACTCTTTGTTAATTTATATAAATATGGGGTTTGGATTTGGTTTTTTGTTGTGTTTTTTTTTTTTTTTTTTTTAATAGGCACGACACCAGACCTTCATATTGCTCATGAAAGTTTAATTCTTGATCCATTATTATTTTTACTCTGTGTTAATAATGTATTAGATGTGCTTATTGCATATCTGTGGATGTATAGATGGGTACACTTTGGTTAGAACAGTCAGAAGTGTTGCTGAGATCACCCTCACTCCAAACGGATTCTAATGCTTATTGGTTTCATGTTTTAAGAAAAATGAGTCAGTGCATGAAGGAATTTTATTCAAGATGTACTTATTAGATGTGTTGCCTCAGTGAAGGTTATACTTTTGGTATTGATCATACCACTCTCCCCTGGTGTACAGATGATTAATTCCCTATTAACTCATCCGATAAAACTAACCCAAGGAGTACATTTTAACAAGTGGTTGTGTTTCAAGTGCACACATACCCCCTACATTAAAAGTGACTCCCCCAATGCCTTTTGTGTGCATGTTACCTGCTTACCTTGATGGATTTTTTTCTCTTGACATAACAGTTTGCCTTGATTTTGCCAAATAACTCTGCTTTGTTCTTGCTGTGATACCAAACATATGCTCTTTGCATTTTTTATATTTCTTTTTATAGTGATATGTTCGGAGCTGCTTTTAAAAGCTAGATGAAGTTTTCAAAAATTGTGATTCTGCAAAATTTTGCTGATGTTAGAAGTTTGTCTTTCTGACAGCTGTTAATTAGTAGCCAGTGGGAACAACATGTATATAAATATCAAGTTCTTGCTCTGACCAAATTTATCTTGTGAACCTGTGTTTGTGATTCTTGAAGCAAGGTGTCTTGACTGAAGGCTATTTTGAGTGACATTCTCTCAGATGCACCTGTTGGAGAGCTTTACTATGTATATGAGGCCTAGAGGAAAATTTCTTCTTTAGCCAAGTGATTTAATGTTTTGTGTAACCTTGGAAAGACTGCTAGTGGTCAGAAAACTTTATCATGTAGATCTCTATCAGGAGACTGAGAGGGTCTTAATTCTAAATCGTCTCAGTGATCTTGTCTTGCTGAAGAAGCAACAGAGTGGAAAAGCTCACATCTTGGCTTTTTTGCGTGTGTTTTATGTATGTATGGGAAAGTTCAGAATGGTGGTGACTTCCTCCTGCAGCATAGGAAAAAATAACCCCCAAAGTACCATCAATACTTCCAGCTGCAGGCACATTTCCCAATTACTCATCAGTTTGCCACACATCAGCTGCTGTCTGTAAAGCCACTTCTGCAAGATGTGTGTTTAGAAGAAAACTTGCTCACATGACGAAGCTCTAGCACAATATACCACTTGATTAGTGCTATGATGAAAGTACTTTGTGTACCAGTCTCTGTAAGATTTAGTTTTTAATTACTTCTCCAAAAGGTATTAAAACTTGATATAATTTTTGTATTATTGGCCATGATCCAGTCATCACAAATTATTGTTATCGGTGAACCTTATAAGCATGTGGTTTTGTCTTTTCTTACAGAACATGAATGAAGCTGTGAGTTAGTGTGAACCTATTACTCCTCACTGTGACATCTCATGAGATACCAAGACATCAAACATGAGGCTGATTAAGTTGATAAGTCAAGGATTTTTCTGTGTCCATTTCTGTGTAAGGGTTCCATCTAGGCTCACAAACTAGGATTACGTGACGGTATGAAAGGATTGGTGCATCCTGCAGCAAGAATTAATCAAGATCGATTTACAGTGACATTATAGAGAAGTAGGCAGGTGTCTTTCTCATTACACCTATTTTTATTTTAAATTTCTCAGTAATCTCCTTTTTTTCTGACAAACTGTTTACTATAAGTTATTGCTTTAAAATGTTGGAACTGCGTAGTATCAGAAATTTTAGGCAAAACACTTCTAGAGTTAGTAAAGACCCTATTTTTTGTGTGAAATATATTTTTCAATGAAATAAAATTAAACAGGTCCTACCTTTAATGAATAATAATTTGAACAGTGTCAGTTTCCTTTATTCCAAACTCTTTTAACAGAAGTTTAGAACTAGTTTCATACTGCATGACAAATAAATTGGGACATAAAATGATAATGTTTACTGGTTTTGAACAGTGTCTGCCTCCTGAATATTGTTTGCTGTTTTTAGCCAAACATTTTCTATAAATAATAAGAATGTGGATGGTTTAAAAACATTTCAAATTAGCTTAAAACATTCAGATTATTTTGGCTTGACAACACTGCTTGATTTTTAGTGTTCTGAACGTAACCTTTAAAAGCAGGGTCCAAGAGCAAAAATTTGAAATTATGAATTTCAGATAAACTTCCTGAAACACTCCATAATGCTCGTTTAAAATGTTTTGACAATCATATTTAACTTATTGTGAACACAAAAGATGGAAGAATAAAATAAAGGACAAAATAAGGTGAAAAAGAGATTACATGAAATTGTTTGCAATATTTTTTTAATATATATTTCTGTATTTGTTAATTTATTTGTAATTTTAATGGTAGAAAATAACCCAAAACATCTTTTAAGTCTGCTTATGCATCGCTTAAACTCCTCTTTACTGAATTTCCTGAAGTGTGTATATGATTTTTTGAAAAGAATACACAAATATATATGTATATTCCATAATTAGGGAGGCTATTCAAGGCAGTAACATGTTCCCTACCTTATCTGTAAAATAGCTCAAAGAATCATGTTCTTTGAACAGAACTCATCTGTAAGTCCATCTTGCTCACTGTCCAGCAGTGGCAACAGGAGAAGACCTCTAGCCTGATCACTAGCTGTGGTATGCTATCCTAACAATTACCAGGTAAGGAGCAATAGAGGATGTATCCCCACCTATCCCCTTTGGTACCTGCTTTTGAATATGGTTGTCCATTGTTTTGTTTAATCTCTTCTTGAACATATGTTTTGCTCCACCTCTGTCTTTGGTAGGAAGTTACACAATCATTACCTTTTGTATAACGAAGAATTTCTTTATTTTAGCCCATGCTATGAGTTTCAGCAGGTAACCCTAGTTCTAAATAGTTAGGCTGTCTGTCAAGATAGCTGCATCATGCCATTAATAATTTTATTTGTTCTTCTCTTACTTTTTCTGACTCTACTATATCCTGCCGATACAGAGAGTACTGCAGGCAGTTATATACTGACAATATTACATTTGTCAGTATGTCCATTCTCAGTTATATTTTTGATGATGCCCAGCATTTTATTGTTGATTTTTATTTTTGGCATCTGTTGCACTTTGAGTCAATGGTTTTAGAGAACTGTTCGTGATGGCTCTGACATCTCTCTGTTCTGAGTGGTATCACAGAATCACAGAATATGCTGAGTTAAAAGAGACCCATGAGGATCACAGAGTCCAGCCCTTAGCCCTGCACAAGACCATCCCCAAGAGTCACACCATGTGCCTGGGTGTATCATCCAAATGCTTTTTGAACTCTGTCAGGCTTGGTGCTGTGACCACCTCCCTGGGGAGCCTGTTCCAGTATCCAGCCACCCCCTAGACAAAGAATCTTTTCCTAATATCCAACCTAAACCTCCCCTGACACAACTTTAGGCCACTCCCTTGGATCCTGTTTCTGGTCCCCACAGAGAAGAGATCAGGGTCTGCCCCTTCTCTTCCCCTCACAAGGAAGTTGTGATTGCAATGAGGTCTCTGCTCAGTCTCCTCCAGCCTGAACAGACCAAGTGATCTCAGCCTTTCCTCATGCGGCTTCCTCCCAAGGCCCTTCACCATCTTTGTTGCCCTCCTTTGGACACTCTCTAATAGCTGAATATCTTTCTTATGTTGTGGTGGCCAAAACTGCACATAATATTCAAGGTAAGGCCATACCAATAAGAGGTTTTCCTGTACCCAATACAGAGAAGAGGGCTTAAAAAAGTTAAAATATGGAACTCTTTCATTAGGGAAGTATACTGACTGCAAGGCAGATTTCAGCAGTTTATTTGGAAAGGCATTTTTAAAGGAAGTAAAGCTGCAACTTCTGTAAGTAATGCTTCCTTCTATCAAAGGGTACTATTTAGATAGCCAATATATCAGAGCACCTGTATATATAAGGCTCTTTCCTGAGTTAACTGTAAAAAAATTATTTGACATCTTATCAAATTTTTAAGATATTAATACAGAAGCCTTCCATTTGCTTTTTGTGCAGGATGAATGGTGCTTGCTGTAGCCACATTACATCATAATACAGTATTTGGCCAGTGATCTGTGTTTTGAAACTGCAGAATCAGTTCAATGCAAATATCACAGAATAATTGCTTAACCTCTCTTCCCCTTGTTCAGAGCACTTCAGTGTTAAGTATAAAATGAGCCAGGGTTATGATTTCTGGTAAATCAATAAAACCAAAGGATTTGTGACCAAAGCCTTAATTGTCTTAACAAGAGCATGTATGCCTCTCAAACTAATGAATCAAGTATTATTGGCTTCTTTTCCCCTTAAAACTTTTAAATACTTCATATTTTTAAATAGAACAGTAAATGTTATGTGTGTTAACATTTTTACAAATTATCTGTGATTTTATGCTTTGGACTATGACACTCATTACTGGACTTGTGTCCTGCCATTTCCGTTTGTCCGTGATAAATGTGTATAGGTGAACTGATTCCTCATTTTTGTTAGGCTGTTTGTTTTTTTTTATTTCTTCAAAGTGTATGATCAAAGAGATTAAGTCAGCATTACTAATCACACCCACCATGTAGATAAGCAGATCTTTCCTAATACTGATTTCAGACACTTGACCAGTCATCACTGGTTTATTCAGATGAAGCATAAAAATTATGACCTTGGGTACACATTTCAGTGTCTGGAACTCCTGTAAGACCATCTATACTGTGAAGGAAGCTGATTCTGCAAAAAAACTCAAGGCCTTCATGCTCAGAAAACTATATTCATACACACACAGTCTGGTAACAGGATTGGCAGGATCCTTCTGCTTACTGGTGAGCTGTAGAAGAGGACAAAGGAGAAAAAGGAGGTAATATACAGAAAACATACAGAAGATGATAATATACAACAAGCAAAGAATGCAAATATTCTTTCAAAAATTGACAATGGAGGTTTCTTTTACAAGACATTTTCATTTGTAGCTTTCATTTTCCTGGTCCAATTAGAAAATGAGACCATACCTTTCTTCACTTAAACAAATGCTTACTGTCATTTAGTAGGACTTTCCATATTTATCAAAACTCAAATCATGGGCTTGATTTCAGTTAACTTCCAATAAGTTAACTTCCAATAAGTTAACTGCCAGACTAGGGCCTCAGTGTATACTCTTGCCTTAAAGAAACCTTCTCTTCTGAAACTGACTTAAAACTCACAGTTTTAACTGATTTCCAGTTATGCTAGTTCTTACATACTATCAAGAGTTTATCAAAAATATTTAAATCTATGAGCAGCACCTCTAGATGACATAATATCATAAAACATTTTATACGTAGAAATGGAAGGTTTAGATGTCATTGAACTGTTGAAATTGGAAGCAGTGCAAAGAATAAAGCATAGCAGTCATATTATCAGCTCATTTCGTTTACCTAGAGGACAAAATTTTCAAAATCTCTGAAGGTAATCCAGAGCATTTACAAGAAGTAGGCCATAAAGTATGCTGGGACAACTATATCTTAGCACCACTGTTAGCTGAACACCCTTAAGGGCAGAGAACTTTAAGGCAGTTTAAGTGACTTTGAGAAAGATATGATCCACCAGATTTACAAAAATTATGTGGAAGGAAATCTGTGTTTCTAGTACAAAAATATAGACTTTTTAAATTTTCTTCCTAATCCACTTCTCTGTGAAAATGCAAGTGCTAGAAGGTACTCATAGTTATTTGTTTGTGTAAAAAAATAACTTTCAGATGGTAGATCTGCCTAAGTTTTTTATTGATGCAAGACTTACCTGCTTTTTCTCTGATGTTAGTAGAACAACTGTTCTGACTAATTAACTAGAAAGTAAGCTCATCTTGTTATCTTTACTGACATGAATCATCCCACTAACTTCACCGAGGGTTTTTCACAATGAAGTATCATTCCTGAATTTATAGACTAAGTTTAAACAGTAGCAAAAATCCTAGTTGAAACTCCAGATACAATTAGGACTATATATACACAGTCCAAAACGCTAATCACGTCTAGCTCATATTTTGTCATCTCTTGAAATTCAAAGCTCATAAAGGTCTCATCCTGCCATAAACTGTTCATGCTTAATTCTTTTCAGTGTCTACCAGACACGCTCGCTCCCAGGCAGATGATACTTAATCGAGCAAATTCCTTACCAGATCATTAAGACCTCACAGTAAGATGTCATCTAAGAACTCAGAGCACAGTGGCATGATCCAGAGATGGCAAAGATCATTCATTATTCATCTGATTCTGTAGGACAGCAGACAATGTGAGCGACAATCTAAGCCAGCACTGGAAATATATATAGAAAAGTTTCTCTAAAAGTCCAGGCCAGCTTCCTATTATTTATTGAAGAATATTGCAGAGAGTGAGCCTGCAAAATTGCAAGGTATTTGCAGAACTAAAAAATTTTGTAAAGGGTTTTGCAAAAATACCATTGCTAAAGTAAGGAAAGACATAACCTCCTAATCATAAATAAACTATGAAGGTCATGGTCAACACACAGATGACAGAATGCAACTGAAGGGCCACTTCAGTCAACTCAGCCTCAGGCACTGGAGAAAAATTGTACTTAAGTGTACTGATATGTCAGAGGGCAATAAAGAATCAGAAATACCATCAACTTCAGGATGACATTTGAAGAAACCTGAACTCTAAGAACATTGATCTTACATGTAAAGACAGGCAGAAAATGATTGCAGTTGACAGAAACTG